ATATATATATATATGGTTATTTGTATGTATGTATGTACCAAGCGTTCCTGTAAAACCACAACAAATTCCTTGTGTTTGCGCACACTTAAGTGGTGAATAAAGCTCATTCTGATTCTGATTCTAATAAGAAAGCACCCCTACAACAACATCTGAAAGTGAACGGTACGTGTTTTACTCGAGCATTACATAAAAATGTAATTTTAACATTAGCGTAATCATTTTAACATGAGTTTAGGAACTGAATAATAAAAAGGAAAAATAAAACACTGCTTAGTATTTGCTCTTTGAATTCAATATGCACTGATTCTTATTTAAGCTACAAAAGTTATTTAGGTAAGAGCAGTGAGTGATTTTCTCTTTGTCATTTGTTCATGGCCCCAAATATTGCAAGCCGTATCGATATGCATATTGCGATATGTACATTTGCGATATTTCAATAATTTCGATATATTGCACAGCCCTAATTTTCAGCATCATCACTCCAGTCTTCAGTGTCACACGATCCTTCAGAAATCATTCTAATATGCTGATTTGCTGCTCAACAAACATTTCTCATCAGGGTCATTATAGTTAATTAAAACTACAACCATAAAAAAATTTATTATTTTATTTCAGCAAGCTGCCAAGGTAACATTTTCATTTAGTCTAACTTGATGTACTAAAGTAATAAAAATAGATCTATTTTATAAAAACTATCAAAAAATGACTAAAACACATCAAATTACAAAAAAAAAACATAACTAAAATTAAAATGGAAAATTTTTATTATATTAAACATATTTGTAAAAATGATTGCGAAATATTAAGAAAAACTCAATGCTAACATAATAATAGTAATAAAAAGTAAATAATAATACTAAAATAACACTGTTTCTTATTATTATCAATGTTGAAAGTGGTTCTGCTGCTTAGTTTTGGTTTGGTTTTCAGGATTCTTTGATGAGAACATTATTAATATCTCTACTGTCACTTTTGATCAATTTAATATATTTCTGCTGAATAAAAGTATCCGTTTCTTAAAAAAATATCTTACTGACCTCAAACTTTTGAACGATAGTGTATGTGACGGTGTGTGAGTGTGCTTTACTAATAGTGCCAATGCAAAACCCTTTCGGAAATGTGTTGAGCCAACTCAGAAAAGAATGCGAGCAGTCGGCCAACTGTAAGCGTGACCGTGCCAAAAACCTGGGCGATCTCGCCCTACAAAACCCTCATCCATGCCAAAACCAGCCCTTAAACATACCTACATCATGATTCCTTCTCAAAGGACTAGGAATCCATTCACACACACACTGATCATTGTAATTTTGCACCAAAAGAATTGTGAATCATTTTGGAGCACGACTCCTTGAATCAAAATCGAATCTTGAAGTGCCTAAAGGTTTCCACCATCAAACAGTTTATGTAAGACCAAAGCACTGAATTTTAGCCTTCCGAACAGTCACGACAAACTCGCACTTCATGCCGTGCATGTTTCTGCAAGCGTGTTTGTAGTCGAGTGCGTCCTGCGGTGCCTTTTGATTAACTGCAGCTCCAAACAATATGCCTCCAATAGAGGAGAAAAGTGGAGACCCTAATGAGCCGAATGAGATTTGACTCCCGCCGGGGAGCGCCAGATACTCTTTGTCTTCTATTGAGAACAAAATAATCAAGTTCTTTTGTCATATCATCACTTTAAGTCGCCTGTGAACTGAACAACAACAGCGTAGGAACCCAAAGTTTGTTTGCGCTGCGCGACCCTACGCCGCTCTCCAGCAGCGTATCAGGTTTTATCTTCCACGGAGGTCTTATTTACAAACCCTAAGAGGTGTTCGGCAGCTGTAGCAATGACTCACTCGCTGAGCGTCATCATCTTTGATCCACAAAAGACCCATTTAGGGCCCTTTAATCTTGGAGACGCAACAATACAGCAAATGCAATTACAGGCACAACGTGAACTAATCAAAATCTCCGCTTAAACAAAAGCAGAGGAATGTCATAGATTTATTATTTGTTCTCAGAAGAACATGGAAAGGGAGGAAGGTTCCTGTGATCTGAGGATGTTTGCCCTCTAGTGGAGCAGAAGACGCAACTGCAAGCCTTGGCTGGTGTTCAAAGGGCCCGAGGCAATGGCACACTCAGCATTTAGTTCATTCAAAACCAACATAAGAAAAGCAAAACAGGTCACGGATTGTGTCATCAAACGATTTGGACCTGAAAACCAATGGAATTCGAAGCATATGCAACGCTATAATGTCCATAAGAGCAAAGCTTCAAAGACACTGAGCTTCTTGTAAAGTTACGGATGCTGTAAGTCAACTGATTAAAAACAGAAAGTGTTGCATGTATCAAACATGTTTGAGGTGACTTCGCATTTGATCATAAATCACATGAAGGATAACATGCATTAAAAAGAGAGAAATCACTAGCATGAGCAGATCAATGCAATCTAATCTCTATGAATAAATACTGGCCATACCAATGATGAAGGTTTGTCTGCATATAAACCACAATCTAGTCCACATCTGCCCACAAATCCTCTACTTTGCATCAAACACTCAACATCAAAGCACGAATCCACCGCACAGCCTTCAAGATCATGTTCACACAGAGGTCTTTCCCTCCTGATCTACTGCCAAACTCACAGAACGCTCCCATAAATCTCCGATCTCGATCTTACCTTCTTCCGGGGCTGCCATTTCATCATATTTGTAAAGCAAAAATGAACAGCATCAAAACATCACGATGGCAGAGAAGAGGGATTCAGGATGAGGACATAAAGTCACAGCGTCTCCGGACGGCAGATTCATGACGCTCTCCAGGCGCGCAAACGTGCGTAAAAGCGCAGAGCTCTGGAGCCTCTAGTGTCCTCCTGATAATCCAACACTCGCAGTCCGGAGATATCGGCTCGTTTGAGCGTCAACTGGTAGTTTGTGTTCGTTTAAAAGCGCGATAAAGAGTATTATGATCGTGAAAACGCAGAGGGGACACTTGGCACGCTATATGCGAAGACATTCGCTCTCCATCGTGACAGCGGCTGATGTGCCTCGCGCGGAGGAAAAGTGAAGAAAAACTTTCCGTTCTGATAAAGGCTACGCTACCGTTCGCTCGAAACAGTCCGGTTTGCTTTAAATGTTCCGTGTAAGTGTTCAGAAGGCGCGCAAGAGACGAAAAGTTCTGGGTGAAAACGAGCGTTGGTGGAAAATATTCCCAAAAAATCACAGCGGATCGAGATTCCAGAGATGATGCGTAATTCTACACATACACGCGCATAGGGGGGAAAAACCCTCAAAGACGCGCAGAAATAGACGGATCCGGTTGGAGACAAGAGGAGGAGGAGGAGGAGTGGGAAAGAAAAACAGAAAAATCCTTGGAATTTGAGAGTTGGACGGAGAAGGATATCCTCCGACAGCGCAGAACTGGAGCGCAGAACACTAATAACTTCCTTCCCCGCTGCTCCTCTGCGCTGAGAGAAGGAGGAGGAGAGGAGGAGGAGGAGTCCGCGGGGTCATAGAGCCGCCGGATACACTCACACACACACACACACACACACACAATCTGGACTTATGAAGCCCACTGCTGCACAAAGAGGATAAAAGTGCTGGAGCACAAACCTTTACACGCCCAAAACCCTCAACTGTCCATTCATGACATTGGATCAAACATCACTTCAGAAAAAAAAAACTATTCACATTTCCAAAGAGAAAGGGGCTCCTAGGGCAACAAAAAGTATGAAAGATTTAGGTTTAACATACTGTTATGTTTTTAATATACTGTAAATATGAGAAATGTGGTTTACTGTAAAATACAGTAACTATATTACAAAGTATGAATGTATATTTTACAGTTCATAACTCTTAATGTCAATTTTGTTTGTTTGTTTCTGTAATATGTACTGAGAATATTTCCACTGAAGGTCATATTATGAATTAAAAGTTAATCCAAAAATATATATATATATAAAACATAAGACATTAAATCATACTTTTTACTTAAACAATTTCAAACTATTTTATTAGTACACATACTATCTTTTTGTGAATTAAAATAAATTAATTCATGCATTTTCAAAATATATTTAAAAAAAAATGATTTTACAGTAAAATTACATTGCCTTATATATCACTGCCAATTATTGTTTAAGCTTATAAGTTTTAGGAAACATTAAATCAGACAATGTGTTATTATGATTATGGTTTAATCAATAAAAACGGCAGTTAAGTCACAACAACGTTAAATATTTACAGTACAATAATTGTAAACATTTTTGCAGTAAAATTACATATATTGCCTTTTAATATAGACTGCTTTTAAAAAAAATGTGTTCCTCTCTGAAAGAAGTCTCTTATTCAAGGCTGCATTTTGACATTAATAAGCATTAATTTTATTTAATAGTTTATGTATTTATTTATTTTCATTCTTACTTACCCCCAATTTTTGAATAGTAGTGTATGACTATTTGATCTTAAACTAATTTTTACAAGAAAATAAATCAGGATTATATTTAAATCAGTAATAGCTTTGTGGGTGACTCATAATAACTTTCACAATAACTTTCGTGCTTATAAAGTCATTAAGAGACATTATAAAATATATAACAAAACAGACCATTAGTTCACGTACATTTAAATACAGATACTGTAAATTAAAGCCGCATGCCATTTCTAATCTAAACGTACATTAGCTAATGATCTGTTAAGAATTATATAATGTAATGATGTTTGTTAATGACTTATTAATGAAAATGATTACAAACTGTCAGCATTAAACTAACATACAGTATGTATCATCACAGTATTGGGTGATTAATGAACGTGGTTTATATGAAGGCGTCACATTATAGTCCATACAAACGGCAGTGAGTATTTTGTGTCAGAATGCATTAACTGCATTTATGCTCAAGGGTTATTTCAGGCACTGGACTTCTTTAGTCTGGTCCACTGTGATTATAAAAGCAAAATCAATTACTGCATTCCCTGCTGAAAATAACTCTGTAATATGACACCTGTTCTGTCCATCGCCGGCCGTCTTTAAAGATTCATCTCTCTGCTTGTTTACCTTGGTGTTGTGCTTCTTAAGAGAGATTTGGAGTCCCTGTGTCTCCGCTTAGCAAACTGCCTTGATCCTTTAATAATATTATCCTGAGGTCCGATTTCAAAAACTTTAAATGCCACCGTAAGCGTTGACGGACAGGAAGAGGGCAGAGCTGCGTCTCTCTATGTCATTTCCTGCATTTGCACACAAAACACATTGTTTTCTGCAGCAGAAACTGTTTTCCTAGAGCAAGAATTATAGACATTAGCTATTCCATTACACATTTGCACAATGCAATGACAGAACACACACAAAACACATTTGCATCTGCTCACTGTGCATTTTATGGAAGCATGTTTCTGCCACTGAATGAAAAAAAAGGAAAAAAAGAAAAGAAAAAAAGGTAATTGCGACTTTTTATCTCACAATTCAGAATTTTTATCACAAACTTGCATCTCACAATTCTGACTTTTTTCTCAGAATTGTGAGATATAAACTTGCAATTGCAAGTTATAAAGTCAAAATTGTGAAATATAAACTCGCAATTGCGAGAAAAAAGTCAGAATTTCAAGACAAACTCGTAATTTTGACGTTTTTCTCGCAATTGTGAGTTTACATCATGCGATTCTGACATTTTCTCAGATTTGCGAGATAGAAACTTGCAATAGCATGTTATATTCATAATTACGATACAAACTCGCAATTCTGACTTTTTCTCAAAATTGCATGATATAACCTCACAATTACGAGTTATTAAGTCAGAATTGTGAGATAAAAACTCGCAATTCTGACTTTTTTCTTTTAATTGTGCATTTACATCTTGCAATTCTGACTTATTTTCTCAGAAATGCGTGATATAAACTTGCAATAGCGAGTTATAAAGTCAGAATTGAGTCAGAGATATAGGGCTCTATTTTAACGATCTAAGCGCATGGTCTAAAGCGCATGGCGCAGGTGCACTTACAGCGTGTCCGAATCCACTTTTGCTAGTTTAACGACGGGAAAAACGGTTGGCGCGCCCAGCGCATGGTCTAAAAGGGTTGTCCCAATTCTCTTAATGAGTACTAGGTGTGTTTTGGGCATAACGTGCTATAAACCAATCAGAGTCTCAGCTCCCATTCCCTTTAAGAGCCAGTTGCGCTCGCGCCATGGCAGATTCGCTATTTACATGGCGGAATTTGCAAGAGCAAAGACTGAACGCGTCTCCAACACGTTGTGCACCTGCCTATAGGTGCATATTACTAACGCTCTCTTTATATAACAAAAAAATACTGCACCATTGACTTTAGACCAGGTTTTAGTTGGTCAATGGCACAGTCTATTTCAGTTGAAAAAACACTTGCGTCGCGCCTGGCACCACATTGCGCCCGGTGTATGATAGGGCCCAGTAACTTGCAATTCTGACTTTTTTCTCGCAATTGCGACTTTTTTTCAGTTGCAAGTTACAAAGTTCAATTCTGAGGAAAAAATACTATTTTCTTACAATTGAAAGTTTATATCTCACAATTCTGACTCCATAACTCGCAATTGCATGTTATAAAGTCAGAATTGCAGATATAAACTTGCAATTCTGAGAAAAAAAGTATGAATTGTGAGAAAGAAGTAACAATTACCTTTTTTATTTTTTATTCAGTGGCGGAAACAAGCTTCCATAGCATTTAGAAACAACCATGTCAAATAAAGGACAAGACAGTCACAGCTGTGGATAATAAGACGAGCGAGACAAACACATCACTTCTATAACGACATAACAATTTGAACAGATATAAATGACCTCCATCAGTGTCACCTCAGAATAAAAGCACAGATGTTGCTTTAGCTGCAGTTTAAAGTGACAGATTGGACATTGTTAACCAACAATGAAGATAAACTACAGGCAGCATTATTTATTCATGCATCAGCAATAAAACCTTATTAAAAGCACATTTCATCAGAACAGCACCTGTCAAATGCCATGATATCCCAATAATATCAGGTCACTTTCCAATAAAAGAGCTGCTGTACGATGCAATGCCAAGATAACCTGTAAACATCTGAACAGCCGCTGGCAAAATTACAAGTAAAAACACTGCCAGTTACACTGTGTTGACTTAAAAGTCATTGCATAATGGATTGCAAAGTTTGATATAGGGATTTAATAACAGTTACTGCATTAAATAAACACTAGATTGCGCTACAACTCTCAAAAGTTAAAACATCGCCTACTGTGAATGCTTAAAAGTTCAGTTAGAAGCATCCTAGCAACCATCTAGAACACCATAAAAACCACCCAGAACACCCTAGCAATCACCTAGATGCAACCTAGAAACAATCTAGAAGTACATTAGAAACCACCCAAACACCTAGCAACCACACAGAATACTCTAGGAACCATCTAGGAGCACCTTAGCAACCACCTAGACACACCATAGAAACCACATAGAAGTGCCCTACCAACCACAGTGAAAACCCTAGCAACCACCTAGATGAAACCTAGAAACAATCTAAAAGTACCCTAGAAACCACCCAAAACACCTAGCAACCAACCAGAACACTCTAGCAACCACAGAGAACACCATAGGAACCACCTATAAGCAGCCTAGCAACCACCCGAAGTAACCAAGCAACCAAACACCCTATCAACCACCTAGAAGTTCCCTAGCAACCAACCAGAAAGCCCTAGCAACTAGGGCTCCACGATTAATCAAATGCGATTGTCATGCGCATTTTGATAGTAATGCCGGTTCTGTAATCAGCAGGAAATCATCATCACGTGCTTTCAGATGGAGCAGTATTTACTACACATAGCCGTAGTTCACTGACAAGTTACGCAAAAAAATCGCAGACTATTTTATTGCGCGATTCTGAAATCGAAGAAATCGTTGGCGATAATGACAGCTGTTTGCATAGCTTCTCAGTGAACTACGGCTCTGTGAAGTAAATGCTGCTCCATCTGAAAGCATGTGAAAATACCACATTTAATAACATATTTTTACTCCAAACTCACTTCATAACGTCAGTCGAGTGTTTGAAATAAATCCTTCTGTGAGATGATGTGGCTTCTTACACGAAATAAGGCACGCAACATATTTCATAGTATTTAAGCAGTGATAAAGGCATTGCATTATAAATATACTTTATTTTAATAAAAAGCATTTTCTGGGTTTCTTCTGCGAGGCGTATTTGGAGTTTCAGCGCGAGAGCGCCCTCTGGCCTTTGGATGGAGATTTACTGCTGATCACAGAACCGTGCTTCACTGAAAGATACGCATGACAATCGCAGCTTCTGTCGAATCGCGATCTCGATTCCATTTCGATTTATCGTGCAGCCCTACTAGCAACCACCTAGAAGCACCTTAGCAACCACCCATAAAACCATTAGAACATTAGACACACCCTATAAACCACCTGGAAAACCCTAGCAACCATCTAGATACAATCTTGAACCAGAACACCCTATCAACCACCTAGAACTACCCTAGCAACCAACCAGAAAACCCTAGCAACCATCTAGATATAGCCTAGCAACCACCCAGAACACCATGAACAACCTAGAAGTACCCTAGCAACCACCTAGAAGAACCCTAGAAACCAACCAGAAAACCCT